CCTCTGGCTTTCTCTGCCAGCCCCATCTTTGCTGCTGCCACCCACAGAAGGACCTTGGTGCCACAGGAGTGCATCAGGACTTCAGATCTCTGCTGGTGCCAGGTCTAAGCGAGGGAAGTTAGTTTTTAGTCGCTTGCTAGAGGCAAAGCGTGGCTTTAAAACTGGGCTGAGGGCCTTGGAAAATGGATGCTGGTAGGATGAAGGCTTCATGGCAACCCTACTGTAATAAAGAACTGCTTATAGCTGGCGAATTCAGGAGCTGCTGCTACACCCTCCTCAGCCCTGTCCTTGCTGGGTTTGGTGGATCTCTGTCAGCAGCATGTCCTTAGGGAGATTTTCCGGGTAGGATTGAAGTCTCCTCAGTGTGGGCACTAGCATACCACCCTGAGAAGTGCCGCTGTTAGCACCATTCCAGCAGTGCGCTCCTTTGGAAGGACACAAACGCCTTTCCAGCTGACCCGGATCCACAGCAAATGAGGTGACAAGGTTAGTGCCCCTGACCCTGCACCACTGGGGTTTTGTGCCTTCCTTGGAGTCCTCCTTCAGTACCAAAGGGACTGGGCCAGACCCACCCCAGGCAGCAGGCTCTCGCCCTGGGAAAGCTGGCTTTCCTCACCAGTGCTGCCAGAGTGCTTTTGCAGCATCTCTCAGGAGGTCAGGGTGCAAATTGTTATACTTGGGATGCAGGGCAGGGAAATCTACCACAGACAAAGCCTTCAGCGTGCTTCCCTGCATTGCCAGGATCAGGTGTTGATCAGTTTTAAGTTCAAGTCACTGAATGCTGGGGTCGTCCTGAGCACAGACCTAAAGGGATCAGCTCTGGCTGAGAGGCACCAGCAGCAGCAAATCAACAGTCCTGGTCAGTAACTTCACAGTAATAGAGTTCACTGAGCAAGTTTTACAGTTTGGGGGGTTTTTTGGGTTTTTTTTTTTCTTCTTCTTCCTCCAAAGCTGAAAAGACCATTACAATGTCTGGTCTCCGGTATGTTATGGAGCAGTCCTCCTTGTGTTCCTTTGAGATACCATGGTCTACATTGCAGCCTGTGCTGTCCCACCCTGGACTGGTGAGCTGTAGTCAGTGGAAAGGGTTGTTGTTTCCAGCAGCATCTGGATGCTTTGGGGTTAGTTTTCACTTGGGAGATGTTGTGAAGGAGACTTTACAACAAAAACAATTCCTTCACCCAAGCGTAGGGTCTGTTTTATCCATTCACACTTTGTGCCGAAGACAGACCTCCTCATTAGTTGCTGTTTTCCACATGATCGTTTTTTTACAGGGAACGGCATGTTTTGGCTAGAGCTGTGCGTTCCTGCTGCAGGGCTAGTTCCTCCTCCCGGGCTTGCTGGTGTGACCCATGCAGCAAGACCCTGGGGTCCCCACGCCCGAGGGCTAGGAGGCTGCAACGATGGATGTCTGCAGCTCTAAGGCAGGTGCAGAGAGGCTTCCCTTCTCCCAGCTCTGGCAGCTGGCCACGCGAGAGGGGAAAAACTCTCCTCTGGGGAGCCCCCTTGCAAAACAGGAGCTTCTAGGCGGGGTGGGGGTGAGGAGGCCTGAGTGCCATGGTGGTAGAGCTCCCTGGCCCCTGCTGCTTTGCAGGGCTCTGCTCCCCACGACCCTTGGGCTGGGCAGCAGGGGGTTTCACTGACCCGTTCCTCCAGGGCTCCACACTGGCAGCAGGGATAATCTCCTGAGTCCAGCTCTCCCCACCAATGTTTTTGTTACAGCTGCCAGCTGGTCCTGCACCTCCCTTCAGATGAAACTCGATACCTCCCGCATGGGAAGCCTGGTGCAGCAAGTGCACACACTTGCCAGAGGTCGGGCAGTAAACAGCGGCCCTTGGAGCACAATTCCCTGCCCGATTTCCCTCGCTCCGTGTGACTCTGCTTCAGGGAATACAGGGAGAGGGAGCACCCGGCCGCGCTGCCAAACGCTAGGGAAGTAAACAGGGAGGCGGCAGGCTGGGGCAGGGCCGCCCGCGGGCC